TTCAGGCAAGCCTATCAAGACGCACTGCGTACCGAACTTACGCTGTCTTTCTCTGGTGACACTGAGCTTCAGTGGAATCGGATCTCGGCCGCTATGCACGACGCAGGAGCATCTGCTTGTGGCACTATTCATCGTCACCGCACCAGTCACTGGATATCCGAGAAGTCGGTGAACCTGTTGGAATCTAGAAGAAACCTCCCGGCTGGCTGTGAGCACAGTGTGACCAGACGGGCTATTAGGCGGGAACTAAAGGGGAGGCTACGTGCTGACAAAGAAGCCTTGTGGACCAGTAGTGCTCAAGAAATTGAGTGGGCAGGAGCAGTAGACAATTACCGCAAGCTCTTCCAGCTAGTCTGCACCATTGGTCCCGGGAATCCAGGCGTCAGTGAGACAATCAGAGACAGTGCGGGTGAACTAATACACAATAAAGTGTGCCGTATGGCTCGTTAGGCGGAACACTTTCAAGATCAATTTAGCTGGCCCCCTGCTCCCGAATCTGTTCCTACTCAGGTGATGCAGGACGAGTCATGGACGGTTAGTTTAGAGCCTCCGTCGGAGGCCGAGATCCGAAACGCGGTCACAGCAATCAGTCGTTTTCGTGTCGCTGACCCGGATTCCCTCCTACCTGCACTATTTAAGGATGGAGGTGAGGTCCTCTGCAGGGCACTGACCTCCGTATTCGAACTTATGCGGAAGGAAGTGGCCCGGTTAATTGGAGCGAATCGATTATAGTGGCAATATACAAGAAGAGCAGCCGCACAGACTGCTCTAACCACAGGGGTATTGGCCTAACACCAGTTGTGAAAAGATTAGTGGCCTCGATTCTCGTTCGTCGCTTCACTGCAGAACGGGGATCTCGGATTAGAGAAGAGCAGGCCGGTTTCCGCCCAGGACGTGACTGCGTGTACCATATATTCACTTTGCGGCATGTGCTAGAGCAGCACCACGCATACCGCAAACCGCCAATAGCTGTGTTTCTCGATTTCAGGAGTGCGTCCGTTTCGGTCGATCGACCGACTCTGTTCGAAATACTTGCGCGGAAAGATGTCCCCATGAAATATGTGAACATCCTTCGTGCTCTATACTCGAACACTACATGCCGCGTCATGGTATACGGTGGGCTATCGGATAGCTTTTCGACCACAATTGGCTTTCATCAGGGTTGTGCGGTTTCGCCATTTCTGTTCAATTTCGTCGTGGATTCTATCATGGAGTGTTTCTTTGTGGAATCTCACGATATAGGCGTTGAAGTGCTGCCTTGTGTGAGATTAGTTGATCTTGATTATGCGGACGATATCGTCTTGCTTTTCGACAATGTTGCGGCGGCACCATCAACCCTGAATAACCTATCTAGAGTGGCCCCATTATTTTGTATGTACTTCGCACCTTCAATGTGCAGAGTATTGCTTCCGGACCACCAGCTTCTTTATGACCGCTTGACCCTAAACTTGAAGTAACTCTAGGTGGTTGATCAATTCACTTATCTTGGCAGCTGCATCAGCAATGATGGGCGCATAGAAACTGACGTCAGCTCACGCATTGCAAAGGCTAGAGCTGCCTTTTTCAACCTGTGGCATGTTTGGCGACAGGAGGGAGTTTTCATCGGTCTAAAAGATCTTGTATACAAGGCCACAGTGAGGGCCATCATGCTGTATGTTAGTGAGACTTGGCCCCTTCGGTCTGAAGATCTGATGCGGCTTCGCGTCTTTGATCATCGTTGCTTGCGAAGCATTGCTGGTGTCGGATGGCACCAGGGTGTCCGCAACGATGATGTGCGTAGGCGAGTACTAAGTAGTGATGATCATGCTAGCTCTCTATAACAACAGATAGCACTGAATAAGTTGGGTTGGCTTGGGCGCGTGCTACGTATGCCTGGTCACCGCTTATCTAGGAGGGTCTTGTTTAGTCTACCAGGTGTAGGGTGGCGCAATTCTCGAGGTGGACAGAAGTTGACTTGGCAGCGCGAAATGAAGTCACTAACAACCAAACTGGGTGCCGTTGGTCCGTCTCGCCTTCCGGACTGGAGTGCACGTGACTCGCCTTGTGCTTGGCTCGAGACTTTACAGGACATGGCTCGCAATCGACATCATTGACGCGTCTGCTGCCGTCTCCTAATCGGATTGCCTGTTTAATGTGTGTTTGGTGCTGAGTTATCTGCTGGGTAATGGCTGATTATGACGCGTGGCAGTGAAAGCCGCAAGGAAGCTGTCTCGCCGATGCCGCCTTATCTTTGCACGATAATCAGGTGTTTTTGGCGGTATGTTATCTACACAAGGTGTAGGTGCCTTGGCCCTGAATGTTTGCCTAGGGCATTAAAGTTTTCCCTTCTCTCCCTCTTTTTATTATTTGTTTCATAGGTCATCATGCTTGTATGGCAGCGAAGCATCAGTTCAAATGACTGTTGTAGTGCTGTTGATGATGATGATGTTTGATTGCCATTCAGGGGAAGCAGATTGTGCAGAGTTGCGTAGCTTAGCAAGCGCTGCGAATGGACAGTAAGGACTTGTTTGATATATCGATAGAATTTGCTATTGAATTAAAACGGGAAATGTTGTCTGTCATTGACGGTTTGACAGGTGAAATGCAAATACATTGTTTAGAAAACAAATTTGCTTTCTTACACTATCAAATCTGCTTAATACTAACTGGTTGTCCACTTAACGAAGTTGGGAAGGATAAAAAGTATTTTGATGTTTTACGGAAAGTATTTTCCGGTATTTTGTGAAGGCGTCTGGAAATGTCCAAATTAATGAACCTTCTGAACTTTTGAGCTTCACAAAAAATTGTTACCTTGGGGGATCTGCTTCTCGTCTTTCATACCAAAACTATTAGCATTGCCAACTGTGAGAGCACATTCTCAAAACGCAAGCTTATAACGAATTACCTTCAGTCATCAGTTAACCAAAAAAGGCTCACGGATTGACAGTTCTTCCCCGTAGAGAGGGAATTTGCCGGTTGTTATAACGCCGTACCAGCGATCGGCCGCTTGGTTTACGCCTGCTGGTAAATTTACGCCCTTGCGCCTGCTCTGCTTGACGCCTTGGCCAACCCGACAGGAAGGAAAACAGAAGAAGACAGCGGACCAGAGTTGTATTGGAACCGAGAACGCTCATATTTATTGGTCGCTGTCACCAATCCTCTAAACAGAGCCTCGCGGATTTGGCTACCTGTCTTCCTCGTACGCCTACACTCCACACTTAACTGTCTCTCCGTCTGGCCATTTCACCGTCTTGCTCGGGCACGCCAGTCTTCAGTCGCCTACTCGGGACATGGCAACGTACATGATGTCTGACGCGCGATTTCATCAGGTTCCGGTCAGGCGTTGGCAACACGCATGATGTCTGATGCTCGATTTCATTAGCTTTCGGCTTGGTCGTGGCAACACGCTCGCGGGGTCTGTCCCAAGCACGCTTCGTGGCCGACACGCGCGGCAATCCGCTTTCTCACCCACCTGTCACCGATGGATTGATCATGATATTGTTCTCAACACGCTTGTCCAACCAACAGTGTATTTGTAACATTTATTCATAGTATTGCGACAAAACAGATGCCTAAATTTACGGCAACATTCTAACATTAGATCTTTGATTGCCGTTACTTGAAACGAAATATTTAAGGCCTGTTCGCAATTTTGAGGGTATACGGATTGACAACTGCCAGAGGGGCGACAATTTTATGTCCACCCCGGGCGACAGAAGTAGTTGCTACGCCACTGATCTCTTTATTTGGCTTCCGCACCCTGTTTACTCTTCTTCGTTAACTTTTGTCTGCATGCCTGCGTTTTTCTCACTCCTGTTTTTTCTGAATTTGTCTTCTGTGCTGGCAACATAAATTATAGTGATTGTATCTGTCGCACTTAGGCGTTCAAGCCACAGTTGGCTCACTGAGTACTGAACTACCGACACAACCCATGAGGCTGAGGACTCATATCGTCTCTATCCTTAGAAGTGCCCGTCTGTTGCTTACTGTAACACTGCTGTTCACTTCGAGTTAACCATCCACGCAATCAGGCTGATTCAGTTTCGCCAACTGTCTTTCAATGTTGGCACAAATCCCAATAGATTTACGTTTAATTGACTTCTACTAGGTTACTCCAAACTTCCACGATCTCATTCCCGAGCGTAACCAGCTTCTCATTGCATTGTGAATTAAATCTGTGAATCAAAACCGGGGTAGGATTTCTCTGGGCTCAGCCCCTTTCTTGTCACGGGATATCTGGAGCGTCGGCGATCACAGAACTGGGTATTGTCTGTCATCCGTTTTGTTATTGTCTGACAACTCGAACAGTGTCCGATTAAATGCGTCGTCACACATTTCGCGTCGTTTTCTTCCGCCGTCTACGTGTCATTGCCGTTTCTCGCATTCTTCCCCCCCCCCCCCCCCCTCAAATACGCATGCTTGCTACAGCTGTCCTGTGATTTCAGGAGTGTTGAACAGATCAAACTACCTTGTCTGGTCTGAGTGACTGTTTTTCCGAATACACTCTTCCCATGCTTGTTCTGTGCTGTTTTTGATTTCTCCATTGAACTTGCACTGTATGGGCTACACGGAGTAGATTGTTCATAATTCAGTGCTCTTACTATACAACTCGACGTCTTTCAAGTTCCCTCTAATCTTCGATAACTTGATCCACACAGCATTCTGGCGGGCATCTTCTGTCTTCCATGATGGTGCGTTTGGGGTCGGTCACACGTTAATACGAGCTGACCTTACTTATCACCCGGATCGGTTAAGGTACGTTACATCTTTCATAATCTACCAAGTTCTATCCTCCCATCTGCGCATCGTAGCGACATCCACACACTAATTTAACCACGACTTTTCCACTTTACACCTCTTAACGGCTGCTGTTACCAAAGATTATCCCTTCTCTACAACACGTGGCACCTACATTCTTTTTCGCTATCACCGTACTTTTTTAGCTGGTGCTGTCCACGTGCGTCCGCTAATTTCTTCAGCTTCCATTTTTCTATTTTTCTGTGCCCTTTGTTTCCCATCAGTAGCACCGAAGATGACCTAGCTCAGCGCTTGAGTAATGCTCTGGGCCTCTACTCAAATGAGCTGAACGGTTTGGTCATTCTCGTGGACAAGCAGATTAACTCACTCCGGGGTGTGAAGAAACGTCAGTGACTCTTGCTTATCTAATGCCCAGTCTTTGTTCTAGTACCATTGTCTTCGGATCATACTCATTGCCGCGTAATTTTTAAGTAACAAAACGAAGGATGAGCCAAGACCAGAATCCGACATTGGTAGATCGCAAGATTTCTTTTATGTTGCACACGTATTTAACCCAATTCGTAGCTTCTGCTTTTTTATTATCTCTGCCTTCGTTTTCACTCGCCACCGTTTATTGTCTACCCCAATGAGCCCCATTCTTATTTGTGGCCACTCATTCGTATCTAGACGAACCAATCTTGAGCCATTCTTTTGATGCCTGTGGTTGTTATGAACTCTTGCTTATCGATAAGCACATAGGTAGTGCTTTATTGAATTGATATCCTTTGGCTCTATGTCTGCTCCGCCCGCCCGGATTACCAGTTACCGTCACAACCACTGCAAATGAATGATGAGTCTTTTGTCATATGATCTCGTGTTTTTTTGTTGTCAAGTTGCCATAATTTTACTTCATGGTCTTACCTGCTTATCATCTGAAGCAGTTTCGCTTAACTTATGAGGGGACGCGAGAGTATGTCCTTCACTAGATCATCATATTATCTTCGGTACTGTGAGATTGATTTGACCTACGGTTGTTAAGTTGGCAGTTGGACATAATAACACACCTAGATTATACCTTTATCTCATTCAATCTTCCCCCATAAATCAGCTACGGTCTTCGGATGTGCGCTTTTCAAGCCCATTTAGTATCTTCAGTGTGTACTTACCGTGTTCTTCTGGCCTTCTTTTTTCACCCTCAATTGCGTTATTCTATTCTCTACGCAGGTTTGTTCGATGCTTGTGAGCGTTCCACAGAATTCCATTTTTCCGAGTTGGGTTGTCAACTTGCCGACATTCAAGCCACGCTGGATCGAATGGGACCACGCCACAGTGGTGGTATCCCTTACCCTGCACTGAACTCACCGTCGGATCTCCATGGTGAGCTTACGAAGAGGTTAACTTTTATGTCCTTTCTTTTTATCCTTACAAATTAGAAATGAATGCCATGCTGTTCAAAGGAAATCTGAGTACCACTCTCTCTCTCTCTCTCTCTCTCTGACGTCCGTCTAGCTTTACGGGGCTATCACACACCATGTTATTGTATAGGATATATTGTCTCACATTTCCACACCGAAATTTGCTCGTGCTACCTTGAGTGTTGGCTTCATTACCTCTGCCACTTCTTTTATGCCATCCCAGCGCTTCGGGACTACACGGTCGTTACGGTCACTGCTCGTGACGCTTCATACACCGTTGCGTAATATATGTGCGTTACTCCGGAACGAATATGACTCAATCCACTACCCCTGAGAGAGATCGAGCTACAGGATCACTCGCCACCTACGACCGGTGGCGGAGTGGTCTGCGCGTCTGGTTTGCAACCTTAAGGTCAGTTGTTCGAATCCGCGTAGGGATGCGCGTTCTCGCGGTATACTCAGCCCGCGCCCAACTGGTGGTTCTCGGGTGGCAGCGAAGCGCCGTTACGGCGTACAGCTGACATTGTTGCTTTGTTTCGCCATCTACGACTGTAAAACACATATCGGTATATTTTACAGGTGGTTGGCTGTCACAGAGCCACGAACAGGGAAACGTACCTTGTTGAAGCTATGGGCATGAAGAGAAGACTTAAATTGGGAACAATCTTCAGGTGAACAGGTTCAGCGACCCTGGTCGTTTTACTCCCAACTGAATCTCTTGTTGTGTCCGACTTGGGCACTCACCTATGATTTAAGCACACTAACAAGTAAGGAATCGACGGTGACGGAGTCATTAGTTGCGGTCAACAGATCCACCGCTGAATCACACTGACCACTCTGGACGATGAAACACCGGTAGTACTGGTTGTGAATCCCTTCTCACGTCACACTCTGCTCTGTTTTGGTAGTTCATTACTCCTAATGTATGTGCACGGCAGTACAACTAGTTACGTTTTACCGCTTGATTATTTTACTGCATTAGTCTTCGGTGCTCAGTCTTCTTATCATCTTTGCTCACACCCTTGGCGCGCTGTTCGACAGCTGATGTTTGATAGTCACCAAACTCCAATGGCTCCAATGATATCTGGCTCCGTGAAGCTGAAGAAATCAATCTTAAGTTTTTCAGAATGCTGCCATCTGAGTGCTTGAACTGCCCGGGGGCACTCCAACTTTGAACTGCGATTTGCTTTGGAGTGTAGACCTCGGTTGTCTCAATCCCTGCTACCCTATCAGTTGTTGAGACATTGTTGTTATTACTCTTTAACAAATGTTGGAACGATCGACGCCACGTTAATCCCCTGGAAGTATCCATGTTTTCCTGTCACTTACTCGGCCTCTTTACTCGTTTCTTTCTCCCTCCCCTAATGCTTCGTATATGAGAGATCCAGTCACGGGTGCCCGGGAACATCTAGTGCCGAACAGACGTGGCAGCTAATCGTAGTTTTTCGTCAATCTCTTCGTTGATGAACACCTCACTCAAAGCGTGTTTGTGACTCGTTGTCTTTTTGACAGTAGTGCCGTAGCAAGTGCGAATGCCTCGCCGTTTTTATGAACCACATTTTACATATTCACCACTGGTTTCAATCACCTTGTGCTAAACTGGACTCTATTTGTGATAAAAAGTTATATTTGTCCTTTCTAGACTCTCGACCTTCTACACGTGAACCCGTCCATGGGGATGTCTACATCACTCGTCACTCCAATCTGGCGGGTGGAATTGGTGGACTAGCCGGTGGTGGTGGTGGCATCAGTGTAGTGTTCCACTTAGTGTACGACGAAGCGGCTGAATCCGATGCAGATCGTGTCCGTTCGACCTCTCCGCTTCACCATGCCTTGTCCGCCATCTTGCGTACCTGCTTTGATTATGATGTGACCACTCTATCCCTCCCGTTACTTCTGGTTCCCACGCTGCGTGAAGTGAGTTTGCCATTCGCTTCGCTTTTAGGCGGAAATTCTGTATTCTGCTGCAGACCTACCCAACTTCGTCTCTGTTTTTCTATCGGTTTATTACTCCATTAAACCAATGTGATTGCGCCCAAATCACTATCGTTGCTCGCGTTCCACTCCTGGGGTGCCTCATAGCTTTTATCCATTCCTCTTGGTCTTCTGCGACCACCTCGTAAAACGCTTTTAATGCGCTTGCCCTTTGCATCCGCTAACGTTTCCTCAATCCGCGATACATTTTCAGTGCATCATGCGGCTAAACCGGTGTCGACACTACGAGGACACCTGAAACCTGGCCCATCTATCCATCTTGCTGCTGTTCTCTAATCTTTCTGGAGGTAGATCGTTCCTACGGAACACACTGGTGTAACTTATCAGCTGTGGATTAGTTTATTGTCCTCATTTCCCGCAAAGAACTCGCCATTTAATCTTGTCTGGGGTTCTTCATCAACTACCTGTCCGTAGTACAGCTGACATCCCCGTCGTATCAGACACACTTTCATTCTCCCTAAACAGATGTCGATTTTGACTTCTGGCTCTTATAATCTGGTTACTTCGGCCTACCTCTGGTAAAGATATACCGATTCTCATAACTCACTGTAGTACCTATGGAGCTCTCTTTTATCCTGAGAATGAATCCACCTGCCTTTTGGCCCTATTCCAAAACGCGTTGATTCTTGGTTCTAAGCGAAATCACTACAACTGGGTTCGTTGGAATTACCAATGCAACATCAGCCTTTTACTTCCGCTTCACCCGTCCCCGATCCCTATTTGCTGTGACATCTATACCAACTGGTTACCAACTACCTTTATAAAACCGAGCATCCTACATCACATTTTCTACCTTCCGTCTGATGCGATGCACCATTGTGAGCCAAATTCTTACCTTATAGATTCGCTTTGATCTAATCACACCACTTACAACGTTAATATCCGTGGACAACTAGTCGCCCGACCACTGATGTGTTAGAGTTTGGTTAAGCGAGGCAAACAAGAATTGCTTTGGCTCTAGCATTTCCTAATCTCCATCGCCACGATACTGGACCTTAGCGTGATGCGATGGTTTGTGCGCCACAATGATCCATTGAGCTATGCTGAATGGTGCTCTTTGCACCTTCAGAGCCACTCATACTAGATTGGTCAATGGTTAGGGGCCAGACAAACTGAGTCTCCTGGCCATCCAGGTTTGGGGTTGGATTGAGAGTGGCTCCTTACTTCATAAAACGGACGCTCTGTAGCCCAGTGCCGAAACCACGCCACCTTGTGGTCAGGTTTTTGAACCGAAGGCTTTGGTTGAGACCGCTAATCGTTCTCCTGTCTAGGTCTGACAAGCTACCTTACAGTATCCTGCCAACACAATACAACACAAGGACTTTCCTTTCAAAGCATCATTTGATGCTCTGGCCGTCGCAGAAGATAATCAACGGCGTCCTATTTGCTGCATCGAGCAGGGTGGATAGGAGTTTGGATGCTACTGCTCAGGCCTTCCCGTCTTCTTATTCCTCACTTGCGCTTTTTCATCCTTATCGTTCCGTTTTAACTTCACTTTTATCCTTTGTTTTCAACCCCCAATTCTTGGCCTTCCCCCGTCTTGCTTCAGTAGTCACTTGTGTTCTAGTTTTGACACATGCAGTCGCAGAGCGTCGTTCTAGTCCAGTTAACAAGTCCATATACAACCAAGCGGACAACATCGGCTCATCGGTTTATGTTTCGAATCCTCGCTGAGGCTGGTGTGCCTCAACGTGCACACTCTGTTGCAGATGGGCCAACAAGCAGCACTGGAGACCCTATCGATCGACATCTTTTTATCGGGATCCCGCATGCAAGAATTAATAATAATGTTTCCGCTTTACGCCGTAACGGCACTTCGCTGCCTCGCGACCTCCACCAGTCGCGCGCCGGCTGAGTATGCCGCGAGGACGCCCACCTCTACGTGGATTCGAACCGGGAACCTTGTGGTTCCATACCAGGTGCGCTTACTGTCATCATGATCATTATACACGTTAGCTGGAGGTAGGAAACACCTCAGCTACTGTGCCGCAATACATAAAAGAAAAAAGGGGGAAATGCAACAGGTGCAACCCAGCTGAGCTACCAGCAACGAATGGGCATCGTTCCGGATAGTTACCATCCGGCTACTAGGCAACAAAGAAAATTGTGATGTAAAATTACATTAGACAGAATAGTGAGATCGTGGTTGGATGGGGAGGTTAAGAAGGATGGGGTGGGATAAAGAAATTCACAGCACGAACGCCACTGAGGTCGGCTCCTAGCCATATCAGCAAGTGTATCCAACCAAACGTGTTCATCGTCTTTCGGACCCCAATCAGGGAGCCGAGAGGCTCCAACCGAGGCCAGCTTCGAAGTGCTGGCCGACACTCCTCTCGACCAAGTCATCGCTTGGCCACCTGTCTTCTTCTTCCATCCACACTCCCGGCGCGCAAAGGACGCACGTCACGGCAGTCGGTGGGCTGGCATACGTAACGCGTGACCGAGCCATCGGAGCTTGGGGAATGAAATGACGGTGCTGAGCAGTTCATTTCCTTTTCCTGTGCCGTAAACAAGGCGTCGAACACGCTCGTTGTTCACGCGGTGTTCCCACCAGATGTGAGCCAAACTGCGAAGACACCAGTGGTCGAACGTAACTAGCCATTTTATCTCCGTTGGTCTAAGGGGCCAGGTTTCACAACCGTACAGTAGGATCGAACGTACCGCTGCAATGTACATTCTACCCTTCATGGCGAGATTGATTTCGTGCCGGCACCAAAAGTGGCAAAGGAAAGCAAAAGCGTCTCGACCTTTTGCTATACGGTTCGTGATCTCATCTTCAATCCCACGGACGCTGATACAACTTCCCAGGTAGTTGAATTTTCGAACGACTTCTACCTGATCCCCACCAAGGGTCAGTGAAAGAGGCGGTCCAGTCCAAGGTTGGAGGAACGCTTTGCACTTGGATGGTGCAAAGCAAAGCCCGAGGCGGCTGACAGCCGGTGCTAATCTGTCCAGTACCGCTTGGCACGTCTGGAAGCTGTCACAGATTAGGGCAATATCGTCAGCAAACTCCAAGTCAAGAATTTGTTCCTCTGGAAGTAGATCCAAACCTTCTAAGTTGTGTCCTGTGAACGCGATTTCCATGACTTCGTTAATAGCGAAGTTGATGAGGATAGGTGACAGCGGGCATCCTTGTCACACACCGCTGGAGATATTAAAGGGCGATGACAGCTTGCCGTAAGCCCTCACTGTGCCTGAGCTACGCGCGCATAATGCTCGGATAATATTTACATATTTCTCACGTACACCTTTCCTGAGTAGACAGTCCCAAAGTGCACGTCCATCCACCGAATCGAATGCACCTTTGATATCGAGGAACACGACAACGATGGGCCATCAATACGTGTGACCGTGCTCTAACAACTAGCGCAAAGTGAAGATGTGGTCAATGTAGCCATCACCTCGACGAACCCCGGCTTGCTCTTCACGATTAAGGCTTTCAGAAGTGGCAGCCAATCTGTAAAGGATGACAGAGGCAAGCAATTTGGAAGCGATGGAGATCAGACTGATTCCTCTATGGCTGCCGCATTCTGATCGCGAGCCTCCCTTGCAAATTGGGTCTGACGGAGCGGCTCCGGTCGGTTGGGACAGTTTCCTGCTCCCACAGTTTCACTAGTAACTCGTATAAATCATCCACAAGCGCACGTCCCCCGATTTTGAAGATGGCAATAAGTAGATCATCTGGTCCCGCGGCTTTATTTAACTTCCACAGTGCCATCTTACGTTCGACTTCTGAGCGAGAGGGTGGATCCAAAGGGACAGCCCACGGAGCGGGGCGATCAGTGGCCGGCGAGAAAAGTAACAATTCCGACCGATAAAATTGACTTTCAAAGTGCTCAGCCCAACGCTCCAAGCGTTTTGACAAGTTGTGGATAGGCTGTTCATTCTCGTCACGTATAGTTTCACTAACACCAGGTCTTCTGCTGCCCGTTTCCCTTATCAGGCGGAATAACTTATGATGGTTACCAAGGGCAGCGGCCATTTCCATCTCTGATGCACAATGAGACCACCAGGATTCGCGGTCTCTTTACAGGCTAGCACAGAGTTTTGCCCGGAGCTCTTTGCGAGTTTCATTGTGTTCGTTTCCAGCCGGAATATGCCGACGAGCATCGATAAGTTCCAGAGATTGCGAAGAGACTCAATGTCCAATTTGGCGATTAGAGTTACCACATGAGGATTTTCCTGCTGCTAGTAAGAAATGGTGAATATGAGACCAATGAACGCTTACTCAACTCGCATGACAGCGTACTTTGATAGGCATTCAGAAAAGCTGATTTCGCCAGTTGGCTGGTGTCTGTGCGCTCACGTCATCGTGGGCATCCGCCGAAAAGCATTCGCATGTCAGCACATCCAAGTGCATGGTCGGTGTCCACACATGTGTTCCAAATCGAGCGACAGTTTTGGACATAGCCTCTCCTTCGGTAACTTATCGCAATGTGATCGATTTGCGTGCATAGCTCGTTCGAGGCTGGTGGGCGCCAAGTCACCCTCCGGCGAATGCTGTGTCTGAAATTAGTACTGGCAAGAAATAAGCAATCATTTTCACTAAAATGAAGCAACCGCTCACCGTTGTCATTACGGGCGCCTACCCCATGCTGGCCGCCCAGATGCAGTGGACAACTTTCCAACTTGAGCGTTCAGATCCCCAGCCAGCACTACAGTGTCCGAGCTTCTTCTGTGGCGAAGGAGCTCGGTCAATTGGCGATAGAAGTCGTCTTTTACCGAATCATTGCTAGAGTTTGTGAGTGCATAGGCAGCGATGACGAATAGACACATGTTAGTTCCGCGCGACTTCCAAGCTTTGGACGAGCCAGCCAATCGGACCGCACACATCCGGCTACTGATTGGAACCCAGTCAATCAGAACAGCTTTAGCCCGGGGACTCCGGGTGATACCAACACCGGTTTGGCCGTTGCTCGAAG